CAGGTGGACGCCATCTCCTCTACAAATCAATTATAGATGTGTTCAACGAGAAGGCAGACAACTTTCCCGATCAAGAAGTATTTATTCATTGCTTTCCTGACGGATCACGGCGAGCCATAAGATACAACGAGTTAAGATACAAGGCCGAAAATGTTGCAAAATTTCTTGTTTCATCAGGGGTTAAAGTCGGCGATTCAGTCGGCATATTGGGACCAAACACAATCGAATGGATTATTGGTGAGGTAGCCATTCTAATGACCGGGGCGGTGTCGGTTCATTTGTCGAAACCTCACGGATCATTTAAAGAAGCCTTCAAATTGATGAAATACTCTGAATGCAAGTCGATTCTGTTAGATCCCGAGAACGACAACAGTTTCATAGACGACATGAAATCATATTGGCAAGACGATAAAACAAAAGCTAAAAATACTTCAGATTTCCTCGGTGGTCCTGGCGTTGTTTTATTAAAGAGCTGTGTTGATTGTGATCTCCCTGACGTGGAAACACTAGGACAAGACGAGACAAAAAATGACGTGCAGCTTCCAACATCGATCTGTCCCGAGACAACTGCAATTATTTACATGACGTCAGGATCTACAGGAAATCCAAAACAGGTCGAACATTCCCACTTTGGCTTGGTCAACACACCGTTCGGTTTTAAAAGATTGCAAGATAAGACGAGAACTGTCGAAGTGGTGTACAATGACAGACCTTTCTCGTGGATGGGTGGATCGATCATCCCATGTCTTCTTCATGGCAACACACATGTGTTCAGAGAAGGGGGAATAACTGTAGAGGAGAGAGGAGTGTTCGACATTTGGCGAATCATAGTCGAAGAAAAATGCACCAGTGCATTTCTCTTTGAAATCACAATCTTGGATCTGCTTGAAAATGAGGCAGAAATATTGAAAAACAACTATCGTTTAAACACGATAATCACAGGCCAAATAATAAACACGCTTGTCGCTGATGCACAGGTGAAGTTTTGTAATGAGATTGTGACAGTTTATGGGTCATCGGAGATGAATATTATGATGGCGAATGCGGTGGATTACAACTTGGTTATTGGTAAATTTGGATATCTTTACGAAGGGGTTGAGGTAAAAATTGTTGATGATAAATCAAAAACATTGCCCAGAGAACATTTCGGAGAAATTTGCATGAAAAGTCCTTGGATGTTAAGGGGCTACAGGAATGCATCTACGAAGCAGGTGCAGGCTCTCTCCGATGGATGGATGAAAACCAGTGACATTGGTAGGATAGACATAAAAGGGAATCTTTTCATCAAAGGCAGAAAAGAAGACGTCATTACAAGATTCTCGTTGCAAATTTTCTCGGGAGAAGTGGAAGAGTGCATCGCGGACCTACCTGAAGTAAGAAGAGTTGTTGTAATTGCTATCCCGGATACCCGTGCGAATGAAGAAATGTGCGCATGCGTGGTGTTTTATCAAAGTTCAAAGGTAACGATAGCTGAAGTAAAGTCACACTGCAGAGAACGACTCGGCGACAACATAACCGGCCACTCTCCGAAATACTATTTGCAGTTTGAGACCATACCCACTCTTGCTACGGGGAAAGAAGATAGGGTGAAAATCAGACGTGACGCTTTAAAACTACTAAATATAGAACACTAGACAAAACCTAGACGTATTTAATTTACATGAAGAAATTCGTTTACATTTTTGCCCATTTCAGTAACAATTTTTGCAAGAGGATCGAGGTTTACAATTTCAACTGAACTTTGGCATTATAGTCCCAAACCCCATTGCAAAACCACATGTCACTGGATGTTTAAGAGTAAATGTCTTTGATGAACAATGGGAACCGTCAATAACACATAAAAAAACATGAACAAGAGGCCAAGAGGTCCTGCATCGCTCACCTGGATATCTCAGCAATCATAGCAAAATATTCTCCAAATGAGATCCAAGGGAATATGTCAGACCCAAATGCCAATTCTTGTAATATTAGATTTTTCATGCCCAGCAATTTAATGTATGGTTATGGGGTGGGGATCTAAACTGTTTCCAAGCTGTGACTCAGAAACTAGATCCCTAGGGTTGTGGCCAGACCCCAGGATCAATTCTAATATCATGACTGCATTCGTCTCTTTATGCCCGCATTTGTATATACAGTTTTTGGGTGGGGATCTCAACTGTTTCAAAGTTATGACCCAGGGGTTAAGTCTGCAAGGGTGGGGCATGCAGAACCTAAGGCCATCCTGGAAACATATCTGCATTCATCCCCACCATTTGTACACTTTTGAATCCCTGCCTCCCATAAATGCTTCTGACCAAATATGATTGATATCCACCATGGCATGATTCTACAGAAAAAGTCGTTAATAGCAATATAGACAAATTGCCCCCTTTTGGACCCGCCCCTCAGCCCCCAGGGGGCTCAGCCCAACCATTTGTACAATTTTGAATCTCCACTACCGAGGTATGCTTCCAGTCAAATATGGTTGAACTCTCTTAGTTCCAGAGAAGAAGTAGCTTAAATCAATATAGCCCCCTTTTGGCTCCGCCCCTCAGGTCCCTGGGGGGGGGGCAGACCCCTTGTTTATACAAAAGTGGTTCCCCGTCACCCAAGAATGCTTCTGACCATTTATGGACCAAATCCTTTCATTCCTACAAAAGAAGAAGGATTTTGAAGAATAATTTGCTATGTTTTCCCTATTGGGCTCCGCCCCTCATGCCCCTGGGGGTCCAGACCCACGGTTTATACAAAATTGGTTAACCTTCACCCAAGAATGCTCCTTACCAAATATGGAACAAATCCTTTCAATTCCTACAGAAGTAAAAGGATTTTAAAGAATTTGCTATATTTCCCCTATTGGGCCCCGCCCCTCATCTCTCAGCCCTCAGAAGGGCTACACCCACCGTTTATACAAAATTGGTTCCCCTTTACCTCCACACCAAATATTGACCAAATCCTTTCATTCCTACAGAAGAAGAAGGATTTTAAAGAATAATTTGCTATGTTTCCCCTATTTGGCCCCTCCCCTTAGGCCCCTCGGGGCCTGATCCACGGTTTATACAAAATGTGTCCCCCTTTATCCAAGGATGCTTCAGACCAAATATGGAACAAATCCTTTCATTCCTACAGAAAAAAAAGGATTTTAAAGAATTTGCTATATTTCCCCTATTGGGCCCCGCTCCTCAGCTCCCAGGGGGGCCAGACCTACCATTTATACAAAATTTGTTCCTCTTTCCCCAAGGTTGCTTCTGACCAAATTTGGTCCAAATCTGCTCAGTCGTTCATGACTAGTGGCGTTTTAAAAGAAAAGTTGACGGACGGAAAGACCAGGTGAGCTAAAAACCAAGAAACAATAGGTTAAAATTTGTTAAAGATGTCACAATATATTAATAGCCAAAGAATTGTTTATAAAACATATCATATCTTATTTTAGAGATTAATCGAAGGCCACTAACACCGGAGTAAAACATGCGTATAAAAACTAGTTTAAACTACTGTGTTTGTAAAATATATTATTTCGTCTTTGTGTTACTATCACATCATAAATATTTATTGATTGTGTTTAGCCTAGTATGTATGTTATAACAGAGACAATTATACAAATATTGCGAAAAATTAAATGTCTATTGTACCACTGACTATACCAGTATGATGTACATACATATGTGCATTTTAATAGTATCGGTATGCATTGTTAAGATAGTTACATGTACTGAAACCGATTTCTAAAATCCGTGTTGTTGAGTAACTCATACTTTACTGACGTTATTTGATATATATATATATAAAAAATGTATGATGATGTACCATGTGAAATTGAATAGTTGTCTACATGAGATAAACATTGTCGATGTTTTGTAAAATAGTATTCAGGAATGATATAACCGTTATTTTGTGCATTGCAAAGCTAATATCTTTTCCGGGTATTATTTAGGTAAAACCACGCTAAGTCCCATGCTATCGCCTTTTTTGCCATAGCGGTCAATCTTTCTGTATAGTTAAAGTATTTACTCCCAAAATATCCTAACAAAGTAACAACATTATGTGAAAACCATCACATATTCCAAATGTGATCAAAACATAGAAAATTTTGCCTTTAATTACCATAAAACGCTTACTGGTCATGCCCTCCTACCAAGGGAATACAAATTATGTGAAAATCATTACATAATATAATATGTACACAAAACCAATTTTATACTTTTATAAAAAGATTTACTGGTCATATGTTGTATTCCTGGGGAAACCCTAAATATGTTGAAAACAATCACATATTCCAATTGTGTACCAAATCACAAAAACTTGTTTTTAATTACATAAATAGTTACTGGTATATATATATACTCTCCTACTGAGAGAGATAAGACCAGATAAGAACACTGACCCTTAAATGAAAATTAAGTGTTACTTTACGAGAAAATAAATTGGGTGTTGTACATTCCTTACAATGTAAACAAAAAACGATATCCTGTAATTCCAAACAGTTTTACTACACCTCCATAAATGTATGTGTACAAGTCAATATAGAAGGAAGATGTGCAATGGAATGTTCATCTCCAGAAATGTAAAACATAACTTGGCACTTACAAAACTTAACCAAAAGACTACATGTGCTTCCGTAGTGTAACGCACATCCACTTATCTCTTATGTTTACGCTAGTATAACCGACCTGATATATGTTTACCAACAAAGCCAATGACCGTGACCTATCCCACGGGGAGTATAAAGAGTTATAAATGGTATTTTGTTTTGTTGTTGTTGAAATAATGATGAATTAATTGGGTAAATCAGAACCATGAAAATTTATTATGAGATGGTTTCAATATAATTCTTGCAACAATGCCTTACATATTAGATTCGTAGGCATCTGTATATCAACAGTCAATACTTATAGCCTTCAATGTAAGTTATTCTAGTTTCTTTAAGAGCATTTGGTATTGCAATAGAGGATATACATTTTTTCATATTTTTCTGAAAATTTATGTAACAGTACACTATACACAATTAGTCAAAAACATACAAATGATTAAATTTACCTAAAACTATTAGGACATTTTAGTGTAAAGGTATAGCAGTTAATCTGACACGAAAAGAATAACAACACTTTGAAAGGACCATAAGTCGATCATTCAAATGTTAAGTTAGAAATAGTTTTCCAAAAAGGTTGCCGTGGCGACCATATTGGATTTCTAATTGACCCGAAAAAGTAACAACACTTGGTTAGGCCCGTAAGTTGATCATACCTACCAAGTTGTAGTAAATCTGCCCATTAGAACATGCCTTTAAAAAGTGTTTTTCTTTAAAATGGCGCCATATTGGATTTCTGATCGACCCAAAAAATAACAACATTTTGTCAGGACCATGAGTCGTTCATTCCTAAAAGGTTTCAGTTAAATCGGCCCATTAGAACTTTACTGTAAGTCTGAAATCGTTGTTTTTTTCAAAATGGCGGTATTGGCGGCCATATTGGCTTTCTGAGAGACCCGAAAAATACCAACACTTGGTCAGGGAGTTGTCGGTTATATCCCTTCGACAGTTTTTCAGCTTGTTGAGTTGAAAATGTAAAATGTTGACGGACGACGCAAGCTCAGGTAACCTAAAAATTGTTCACCACAATGACATAGTATACAAAGGCACAAACACCTGGGGAGACTACATGGTGATTAGCTCTTCACATCCATGTTCCATTAGAACCTATATATATGTATATATTTACATTCTTTATGTTTTTCTGTATATGAATCTACCAACTGAACACAACTGCCATTAGACTATGAATACACTATGAATACAACGATTCTTGTGCAACCAGTCAGCTGATTTCACACACAATGACCACTTTCTGGGAATAGTTATCCCCCATTCTCCGAGATAACGTAGTTGCGAGAAATAATAATAAACATTACAAAATCATAAATGGTGAATCATTGTACTATTATTATTAATGACTCCTTTTTTTATTTAAAAATTAATTTTTATTTTATAACATTGTCATCTTAAATACTGACTTCCGACTCGCTAAGTCGTTCCGAATCGTAGGTAACCAACACGTGTCGTCTGCTAGACTGTTAAGCTTAAGCTAAGCGATGACGGACGGAGAGGGAAGCCCCCTAACAGATAGCCCCATCAAGACGTATGGTGTCTTTCACATATCAGATTTATTGGAATTTTCTTCCGATGATGAATTGGAGAAAATATTACTCCGACACAGGAACGTCCGATTTCACTGTTGACGATGCCGGAAGGAGAAACCCCGATCCCACGGAAAATCAATACTACTACGCAGATGAGTAACCCCTCCCAGGGGTTGTCCTACCCAGCAGTGACAATGCCGAAAGGAGAAACCCCGACCCCACGGTAAATCAACACTGCTACGCAGATGAATAACACCTCCCAGTGGTGTCCTATCCCCCTAATGGCAGTGCTGGAAGGAGAAGTCCCGACCCCACGGGAAACAAATACTGTTACGCAGATGAATAACTCGACCCAGGGGTGTCCTACCCCCCTAGAGACAGTACCAAAAGGAGAAACCCCGACCCCACGGGACAGCAGCACTTCTAACGCCATACAGGTAAACAAATGAAACAATAAACACTAAAATTAAAACTAACCTCGCAAATAACTTATGCAGTTGAATTTCTGTCTCGTGGAATTAATAGAATTAAAACAAGCGTTAAAAAACCCCATTTCAAGTCGACTTGTGTTTTGAGTTTTGAGTTTTTAAACATATGTTGAATAATATTTATACAGAATACATCCATCACACAGGATATTCCAGTGCCATCCCTGGCAAAAAGATTTAAACTATTTCTGTTGAGACACAGAAAATGCTAGAAGGGGCCAACTAATCTGCCTCCACTAAGAGAAATACAATCTGGGGATTGAAAATATTCCAAGGTAAATAAATCATGTCAGCTATTAAACAGTTAAATGGATTAAAAAATCAGATTTGGAAATTGTTGAATATGTCGATCTGTGTATTACGTTCTGTTATACAGAACTGGTAAAATGAATCAGTAATTGCGAATTTTGATATAAAGCAATTATCTAACCATTTACACCATCACACAAATGATGCTCTTTTTTTCAAATCTATAGGCTAAAAAAGATATTTTTTACATTTAGATTGGAACCAAGAGGTCTCTGGAACAGACTTGGACCTAGAGAGCGTTAATGTGGCAGACCTGTCAGATGTCCTCGCGAAATTTTATTGCGAGGCGAAGCCTAAAACACAAAGCAACATTTAACACAAATATCCACTCCCCTTACATCCTTCGACATAACGTATGGTACAACCTGGCTATCCATTTTGTGACCAGGTGACTTGAGTTCCACGAACAGCTGCGAATTGATTCTTTTGAATTTATTTCAGACGAGCAAGGTCTATGTGACACTATCAGTCATAACACAAAACAAACAAAATATCAGGGTGGGTTTTCCTTTAGGGAAACCCCAACAAAACGCATGTATTCCACTGGTTCACTCCACTGTCCCGTGGCATTGCTGCAATTGTTGATATCAAAAACGGATTCGGCCGCTGAAAAACTATTCAACCACTACATCAAAGAAGCTGGTCCAGAAAGTTCCGTTTGGTTTACGTGTAAAGCTCTCGCTAAACGAACGTATACCAACTACATGGCCGACATTTGTAAAGGTGCAAACATTGCCGCCGGGCTACAGCTATTCAAGCAATGAGCGACTTCGGTTTTAAGGCCCGTCACATTATGTTTCTGTCTGGACACAAAAGCGAGTCCGCCATTCGGTCATATAACCGTTCTTGCTCCACAACACAGAGGAAAACGTTATCCACAGCATTGTCAGCCATCGCTAATGGCAATTTACGTGTTGATCAGCTGTCGATCGCTGGACGTCCACCTATGCACTCAGACTGTAATCCAGAACACTTACGGGTATCACAAGTGCCGCACACTATCTCAGCTTCTCCATCGCGGGACATCGCACAAATGCGTAATGGCGACTCGCCACCGGTTCCTCGCGATCGTGGTCACGAACATTCAGACTAGTACATCAGAGAACTTTGTAATGACACAGGGCACTTCATCCACCAACTAATCTTCATTTACCTTAGCAGGATTTCTGGCAAACAGCACATTCCACAGATGTACATTCAACTTTAAATGAGCTCTGCCCACCGCCGACGGGTGCTCGGCCGACGAATGCCATGGATGGTTACTATGGTGACCGTTGTTTGAAATAGTGCGGACATAAACTTTTACTAAATATATAATTTGCGGAGTTAAATGCAAAAGCCGAATCTTTGAAGTTCGTGTGTAGGCTTGAGTTCTGGCTATTCATTTTTTATGGTTTTCTGTCTGATACTGATATTCAAAATATTAAATTTACAAAAAGTGGTTTTTTTTATTCTAGTTCATCGTAACGTAAATATATGAATAGAATGGATTTTTTTCATGTACATTGCTGCAATGAATAGAAGTAGCTGATCTACATATCGTTAGTGCTCCACAGGATATGTAGAATAGCTACTGATATTCATTGCCGCAATGTACATTGAAAAAAATCCATTCAATCCCTATATAATACACAAATATTTACCAGTATTAACAGAAGCTATCGTTTGTAAAGATACGTTTCTAGTTCTTTTTAAATACAACCAGAAGATATGAATGCAAAATGTGCAACGACAAAAGTGGTTACACAAAGATGTATTTTGTAGAGAGACACATGACAGCTGCCTATTCGGGGTTCATTTTTTATGTTCGCTGTGCAAGGGACTTGCTAACAGGATAGATTTCCTACACGCCAAATGCATCGGTGGAAGAATGGCAACTGCACTGAACTAACATGATTGCACAAGAGAGGATGAAGAGACAGCATTGGAAGGTTTTCCGGGGAACCCCGAACGCCCAAAGAAAGGCAGGAGGCACGGAGGGAGGCAGAGATGACCTCAAGGCATCTTGCTAGATACTCACCTGTAAGGGGACAGCCACCGCAGGTGGTATCAGTGCTGCACAAGGTTTCAACCTCCAACAATACCAAAGTCCTTGCCAGCCGGAAGTCGGTTCCACTGTCGGAGGCTCTTACCGGGAAAAGGACCATGCCCGCTCCACCGCATCAGCTGGATTGGAAGAGCGTTCCATGAAATTGACTCTAAAACGACCAAAGATTTTTTCATCCTCGGAAGATTCTACCAGCAGATCTGGCACTGTCGGATTGTTCTATCCATGTTTCCGATGCGGAGCCTGAACAAGCTGAGGTCCTTCCAGATCAAGCACATGAGATACAGCCAGAAATAGAAGAACCAAGGAGCCAAGTCCTACTGTTCAAGATGAAGATTGTACGAATCATCCGGATACTACTTATGAAGCAACTTCAGCTGAGGAAAAGAATAAAACAAGAAACCCAGAGGGCCTGTATCGCTCACCTGGATAATAAATCAACATCATAATCGGTCGTAATCCTCTGTTTGCATTGCAGAAACACTCGCGTGCTGTGAAATGTCGCAGCATCGGAAGTAGGCGGTACAATTTGCACATGTTAGTGCGTTGTAGAAGTAAATGTCTTTCGGATGCACCGTTGAAACCTAAGAAGATCGAGACCCACATGCATCATACCCGTATAAAAATGCAACTATTTCCTCTCAATCTTTCACTAATGTGTTCACATTTGAATCTTTGCAAATAAAGTTGTTGGCAATTCCCTTGTAATATGGATGGGTGCGGATCCTTTTCAACGCTGCGCGTTGACTAATCCCAAAGAGTCTGGACGTTTTATCGCATTCTGTCATGGCGAGAATGACCGGAAGTAACCAACATAATTCCTGCTCAAGCAACAACTTTGTTTTGCTGGATGTCCCAGATCTTAGCTTGTAGGAAGTTAATCTCTAAGCAGAAGAACAACTTGTTATCGTTCATATCATCATGGTAGCACAACAGCAAAAGTATGTATCCTATCCAATTAGAACAACATTATTTGTGGATGTACATGCAATCGCTGTTATTACAATCAATTTGTCTGCATCTACCTAAGCATGAACGGTTGCACGGCCGCTGTCACGAAGCTTCTGAATTGGAAGGTTGTCAACACTGGTTTGAAATACCCCTTTTCTTTTTTTCTTTTGCATGGCATACCTTCTGTATAATTAACCTTCTGTTGGACAGTCCCTTTCGTTCGTCGCACGTCTTATATTTGGACGCTTTTATGTAGAGGGCACAAAGCAAACCCCCAATTCTGTAGGGGATTCCCACATCAGCTGCCTCTTACGGTACATGCAGTTGGTAACAGCATGTATATTTTCCTCTCGATCCCCGACCTGCAGTGGTGAATTTAAGAAAATGAAGCTAAAGCTTCTTAACACTATTTCTCAGGCAGTACTGGATCATTTTTTTCAAATTGCACATGAAGATATCCTTTGATGAAACTGGTTGCAAAAACAAGATGGCCACCACGGCCCAGTTAATTACGTGCAATATTGTTTTGAGTTTTTGAAACTAGACCATTAACGGAGTTGAAACTTTTCAGATCCAAACATTTTAATAGTGTACGATCACATGCTAAATTTAGAGTTTTACCTTTAATATTGATCAAATTATTCGAGGTTGAAGAATGTTGATCAACATTTGGTTTGTTCTTCTTTATACATAACATATTTAGGTTTGGCGAACCAATTCTCATTCATTGAATTGAAAGGATAATAAACACATGTAATAAGTCATAATTTTACAGGCTTAATTTCATAGAACAAGTAGTCAATAACCTTTTTGACCTCTTCTATACTAATGAGCCGTTACGAATTTAATAATCAATAATTTGGATTTCATCGTTTTTGACCCTGGAATCACCAAGAAGTCACAGAAAGACGAAACCTCTCAATTATTGACACACTGTAATACGAAATTTAAAGTTGAATTGCATATATAACAAACGAGTAAAAGCGGAGTATTGCTAAAAGAGCTCTTATCTTAGAAGAGCCTCCATCGAACATATAGACACTCTATATTACAACGTTTTCATTTCATAAAACAAAACTCTTTTCATGTTTGTCATCGACCATTTAATCACCCGTTTTATGACTGAATTTTCCTATTTTTAACAAATACGTGGTTTATTTTGATAAAGTATCTGTGCCATTTATATATGGCCAACATCATTTAATTCATCTTTACAATCAGATACATATTTTACAATTGATTTGTTTGCTTATCATCCTCGTTGTTAATCCTTTGAACTCTTTTAACTTCTAGTTTAAGTATGATGTATTCCTTTTGATATACCTATGTTATCAAAAGGACTATAACACTTATAATGAGACTAAAGGATGCAAAAGACAAAAAACCCACATGAATATTAAACATGTGTTAAAGCTTCTATAATACAACTATTAAAAAAGGTGTTTGATACAGTTTTTGTGCGGTTATTTTACGGTAAATATATATATAATGTTTTACAACCAGTTCGTTTGCTTTGGTTGTTTTGCATTTTATTCTATTAGTTTTCCTTTCTGAGAACATCTATTTTCAGTGTTATTTGGTCCTAAAGGACTTAAGGTGTGATTGCACAACGCCCCAAAATTACCGTGCGCACAACTGCGATTAATTTGGTTTGGTTTGGTTTAGTATTGTTGAACGTCCTTTCAACAGCTATTGTCATTTAAGGACGCCCCCCTGTGTGCAAAATGCATGCGTGTTTTGGGAGGCTGCGATATATTCGTGAAAGTTGGAAAGAACAGAAAAGATAAGATCCCAAACTTAGTCGCCTCTTACAATCATGCAATGGGGGCAGCAGGTATAATTCTTACGCCCTACCTGCAGGAACTCAGCGAGTAGGGTAATCACAACAACTGGTTTACACATAATTTGACCGCCAGATCTGCAATATCGCATGGAGGCAAATACGCTTATATAATTCATCCAGTAATCATGCACATATACATAACAAACATAATTATACAGTACAAACATGGAAACATATTTTTTGTTTTTGTTTTTATTTCACTAATTTACCAACAGCTAAGGTCATTTAAAACGTGCCTCCTCGTGTGTAACGTTAGTGTCCACGTGTTTATGTGTGCTGAAGACAGGGTATGTTGAGGTGATAGTCTCCATGCGATAGCGCAGATCTGATGCCGTCTTTAAATTAGTTTGGTTTATTTTTTTTAAACATCATATTAACAGCTACGGTCATTTAAGGACGTGCCTCTATGTGTGATGTATGCATACTTGCGTGTGTGGATCTGATGCCGACTTTATAGTGCTATCTAACTTAAATGCCATGCCGAAGTCACCCAGCACAGCATTCCGCCCGGTCACATTATACTGACAACGGGTGAACCAGTTGTTGTAATTCCCATAAATGCTGAACGTTAAGTAGGGAATAACAAATACCATTTTGAAGGACTTTGGCCTGGGCACAGAGCCCATCTCTTTAAAAAGATTGCTATTACCGAAATAGCCCAAACTGAACAAGAAAAAGCTAACGTATAAGTGGATTTCTTCTCAAGCGTTTTTACAGTCGAGTCACCAAATGCTGCAATACCTGTCCTTGAAGATTACAGTACATCAAATCCAAACGCTAACACCAAAATAACTGAAAAAGATGTTCTAGATGCTTGGAAAACCTTAAATCTGTCGAAATCTCCGGGTCCGAACAACGTTCATCCTAAAGTATTAAAGGAATCAGCAGATATAATCAAAACACCTTTGTGTGAGATTTTCAACCGTTCGCTTAAAAACGGAGAACTTCCGGATAGCTGGTAAAACGGGCAGATAACAGCAATTCACAAGAAGGGTGACAGGAAAATACCAGGGAAGCATAGACCAGTGAGTCTCACTAGTGTAATAAGTAAAATCATGGAAAAAGAACAATAATAATGGACCACTTAGAGAGAAATAATTTATTTAGTAAACACCAATATGGGTTTGTCAAAGCAAGGTCAACTGTACTACAACTACTGAAAGTCCTTGATCAAGGAGGATCAATCCAAACTGTGTATTTATATTTAATGAAGGTGTTCGACACTGTACCACACGAACGCTAAATTGTTAAATTACATTCATACGAACTATCGCCCAAAATTATAAGTTTGTTACAATGTTTCATATCAAATAGGAAACAAAAAGTATCAATAATTGTCGAAGTATCGAAATGGATGAATGTTACCAGTGGAATCCCTCAGGGCAGTGTCCTTGACCCGTCATTATTTGTAATAGATATATCAATGACTTACCGTAATCAATAAAAGCATCAACATTCTTATTTGCAGATGACACACAAATGTATAATCGCAGAGAAAAAATGAACCTGCAAGAAGACCTCGACCAGATCCAAAAAAGGTAAAATACTTGGATGTTGAAATTTCACCCGGAAAAATGTAAAATACTTTCATTAGGAAAATATATTAATACCGCGCCGGTTTATTTACGCAAAAACATCAATGAAGGGAGGATAAAAGTCATTTTAGAAAACGTTAACAAAGAAAAGGATCTCGGAGTAATCACAGATAACAAATTTAAATTTATGATCATAAACACAAATCGGTAAACAAAGCAAACACGATCATGGGAACAATTAGAAGAACGTATACATATTTAGACGCATCAACGTTTTGTCTGCCGTATAAAGCACTCGTGAGACCGGATATGCAATACGGAGCTAGCATATGGAAGTCATCCCTACAAAAGGACATTGAAATTGAAAGTGTACATATGAGAGCCACAAGACAGATACCTTGAATGAAAGACGTAAATTATCAAGACAGATTGGTTTGGTTTGGTTTGGTTTGGTTAAGTATTGTTTAACGTCCCGTCAACAGCTATGGTCATTTAAAGACGGCCTCCCCTGTGTGCAAAATGCATGCGTGTAGTGTATGCGTGTGTGTTTTGGGAGGCTGCGATATGTTCGTGAATGGTAAAACCTGTTATTGCATTACCTGAATTTTCTTTTAATGAGATTTTTAGCTGTTAATAACAAATTTTACCAGTTACAACCAACCAACCCGATTTCATGGGGTGTGGCTGATGTAAAACAGCTTTGAAACTATACACAAACACCATGCAGCATATGCGCCGTACTTTTGTATCAGCCGTCTGTAACGCCCTTCTCCATTGGACTTCCAATCAGCATTGTGGCATCGACATAAGGTCATTATCGATCTGTTCTGTGTGTCTTTAAAGGCGCAAAATTCATGAATATAACCTCACTCACGCATCGAGGCATATAGACATACGCTGGATGTGGTGCGTCCTACTTCACTTGCTGTAAAGGTCTGTATGATCATCACATTTAATTTATATAGTTAATTTTGTATTTCTTTTCTTGTAATTAGTCAATCTTGTATAAAGAAACGTTCCTCGTGAACACAATACAAGTTGTCTCTTTTCACAGTTTTCCTAGTTCGGTTGGCAATGAGTTCTGTCCCAAGGCTGGGACAAACCAAGGTCTTTATAAATG